TATTTAGCTTGTTAACTAAATATTTAATTTGTAAGTTAAATATTTAGTTTATAAACTATGACATTTATGAATGTATGAATCATATGGTGAAAAACTAACTTTGAAAAATAAATCTGTTCTTTTTTCTTATAAAAGTCTAAATAAAACAAAAATGTTGGTGGTAACTTTTGACTGTGTAACTTTACAAACGGCACCCCATATTTGTGAAGCTCAAAATGTCCCAAAATGAAAGTCTAATTTCACCACTTTTTTCAGTCACTGATGAAGCTGATAAATGTCTTCCAAAAGGTGAGTGGTTACCTTGGAAACTCGCTCAGCGAAGGAAAAATGATCGGCTTGCCAAGACCACCTGAATCAATCACATTATTCATCTTTAATACCACTAACATGACCAAATGCTCTAAATGCTGCAGCTTACAAACATCAACCAGACAGATAAAATCAAATATAATCAAAATGTGTGATTTCATGTGAGGGGGAAAAAAGTGTTTCAAATAATTCCCAGTGCTACAGCAGGACTTCTGTTTCCTGCTTCCTCAGGCATCCCTTATATGTGCTCCACTCCATTAGCCTCCCACTGCAGTTACTGGATCATTAGGCCCCATCCGCTTCAATAATGCAAAAAGAGCAAACCAGGCAAACACCACAGCCTCTCAGCTCTGCAGGAGCCCACCTAAAGGCACATGAACCAATCACTACTGTTTGCTACAACTGTCCTAAAAAATGTGACAACTCACCAACAATAAAAATAATAATAAAAATTCTATTTTTATCAAGTTCATCGAACACAGAGGAGGGGCTTTTTACATGTGCTCATCATAAACACATCAAGTGATGTCAGTCATTATTGTGTGAATGCCTACATTCACACCACTGAGATCACTTTTTCTTCCGTACGTTTTTCGGCACCTTTCTCTTTCCACCATATTTGTGCTACTTCAACCATTCATATATCAAAACGTTCAGCTCTTTCATGCAATGCAGGCTATGACTTTTGGTATTTCAGCTATTTATACTTTTTTTTAGCTATTTCAACTTTTTAGCCACTTTTTTCCCCATTGACTTTGAGTGGGGCTATTTTCAACAACCTTAAAATCCTTCAAATAGTTTCTAAATCTTTACAAAACCTTACACAGTTTGTTCTTGTTATGCTCTATTTTACTCTCTTGTGCAAATTTTAGCTACTTTTTTTTGCTAAATTTTGCTGTTTTTGGCTATTTCAGCTATAGTTCTGCTTCCTTCTGCTATTCTTCTGCTTTATCTGCTTTGCTTTACCTTTTTCTGCTAATTTGTGCTTCTGACAGTTGCTTTCTTCCATATTCAGCTATTTGCTACAAATTTAGCTAAATTTTAGCTGTTATTAGCCAATTACACATTATTAAGCTAATTACACATTTTTTGGAGCTAGTTCAACTTAATTCTGCTAAATTCAGCAAACTTGTGCTCCTTATGCATCCTTATGCTAATTAAAACATTTCCAGCTACCTTTTAGCTGTTTTACTGAAAACTTCAGCTGTTTTTCCTATTTTACTTCAAATGATCACTTTTTAGTAGTTTTATGGGGAATGGGGGGGGGGGGGGTTCTGCTATTTTTCAATATTTTTTTACAAACATTTCACCACCTGGATGCTACTTTCAACTTGAGTCTGCTACCTTTAGCTTATGTTTATGCTAAATTTAGCTTTTTGCTGCTATATTAGTTAAAATTCTACTTCTTTCTGCTGATGTTGTGCTTTTTCTGCTTTGTTAAACTTTTTTCAGCTAATTTGTGCTATTTATGCTTCGTGCAGTTGCTTTCTTCTGTATTCAGCTATTTGCATCAAATTTAGCTAAATTTTAGTTGTTATTAGACAAAGTTAGCTTTCTAAGCTAATTACACATTTTTTGGTGTTATTTCAACATAATTCTGCTAAATTCCGGAAACTTGTGTTCATTATGCATCCTTGTGCTAATTCAAATGTTTCCATCTACTTTTTAGCTGTTTTACGAAAAATTTTGGCTGTTTTGCCTATTTTGTTTCAAATGATCACTTTTTAATAGTGTTGTGGGGTTTTTTCCTGCTAATTTTGAAATTTTTACATCCATTTCATCATCTGGGTGCTATTCTCAACTAGAGAATGCTATTTAGCTTTTTTATGATATCTTTAGCTTTTTTCTGCTATATTAGCTTCTTTCTGCTATTCTTCGGCTGTTTTCTGCTTTGTTATATTTTTCTGCTAATTTTTGCTATCTATGCTTCTTAAAATTGCTTTCTGCAATATTTAGCTATTTGCTGCAATTTTAGCTAAAGTTTACCTGTTATTAGCTCAAGTTAGTTCAAATTACTTGAATTTGGCCAAATTATGATATAATGAGCTATAAATCAGTATATAGGTACCTGAGACTTAGCTCTACCATAAATAGCAGCAGAAACGGAAATCCAATATGGCCACCATAGCTAGTTTTAAAGGCCTTTTACTCAGCCAATGTTTGAGATTTTCACATGAAAATGTATGTACTGGCAGCTGAGAGCAAGCTCTATAACATTTTGAAGTCTCAAGAAAATTTAACAATTGTAGCCAAAGCTATTTCGGCTACTTTTTTCCCATTGGAAATGAATGGAGCTTTTTTCAATATCCTTAAATTTCTTCGTAATGTTTCTAAATCTTTACCTTACACATTACACTCACCGGCCACTTTATTAGGTACACCTGCCCAACTGCTCGTTAACACTTAATTTCTAATCAGCCAATCACATGGCGGCAACTCAGTGCATTTAGGCATGTAGACATGGTCAAGACAATCTCCTGCAGTTCAAACCGAGCATCAGTATGGGGAAGAAAGGTGATTTGAGTGCCTTTGAACGTGGCATGGTTGTTGGTGCCAGAAGGGCTGGTCTGAGTATTTCAGAAACTGCTGATCTACTGGGATTTTCACGCACAACCATCTCTAGGGTTTACAGAGAATGGTCCGAAAAAGAAAAAACATCCAGTGAGCGGCAGTCCTGTGGGCGGAAATGCCTTGTTGATGCCAGAGGTCAGAGGAGAATGGGCAGACTGGTTCGAGCTGATAGAAAGGCAACAGTGACTCAAATAACCACCCGTTACAACCAAGGTAGGCAGAAGAGCATCTCTGAACGCACAGTACGTCGAACTTTGAGGCAGATGGGCTTCAGCAGCAGAAGACCACACCGGGTGCCACTCCTTTCAGCTAAGAACAGGAAACTGAGGCTACAATTTGCACAAGCTCATCGAAATTGGACAAGAGAAGATTGGAAAAACGTTGCCTGGTCTGATGAGTCTCGATTTCTGCTGCGACATTCGGATGGTGGGGTCAGAATTTGGCGTCAACAACATGAAAGCATGGATCCATCCTGCCTTGTATCAACGGTTCAGGCTGCTGGTGGTGGTGTCATGGTGTGGGGAATCTTTTCTTGGCACTCTTTGGGCCCCTTGGTACCAATAGAGCATCGTTGCAACGCCACAGCCTACCTGAGTATTGTTGCTGACCATGTCCATCCCTTTATGACCACAATGTACCCAACATCTGATGGCTACTTTCAGCAGGATAATGCGCCATGTCATAAAGCTGGAATCATCTCAGACTGGTTTCTTGAACATGACAATGAGTTCACTGTACTCAAATGGCCTCCACAGTCACCAGATCTCAATCCTATAGAGCATCTTTGGGATGTGATGGAACGGGAGATTCGCATCATGGATGTGCAGCCGACAAATCTGCGGCAACTGTGTGATGCCATCATGTCAATATGGACCAAATCTCTGAGGAATGCTTCCAGCACCTTGTTGAATCTATGCCACGAAGAATTGAGGCAGTTCTGAAGGCAAAAGGGGGTCCAACCCATTACTAGCATGGTGTACATTCTGGTTTTGCTCCTTTTAAAATCTTAGTGAAAATTTTAGCTACTTTTTGCTAGTTTTAGCTTTTTTCAGATATTCCAGCTAAAATTCTTCTTCCTTCTACTGTTCGTCTGCCTTTTTTTTTTTACTTTTTTGTGCTTCTTTCTGCTAATTTGAGTTATTTATGCTTCTTGCGGTTGCTTTCTGCTGTGTTCAGCTATTTTAGCCTTTAGCTTTTAGCTTTTTTGCAACTTCAGCAATACTTTGCTCCTTTTTTGTGTTTTCTGCATTTATTTAGCTTTTTTCAGCTTTTCAAGTGCAACTTACTCTTGCACTTTTGCTATTAACATGTTCAGCTCAATTTTAGCTTCTTCAGCAGCTTTCAGCTAAAGTTTTCAGCAACAGGCATTCACACTTGCATTTTCACAGGAAATGCAATTTCTCTAGTTGTTGCTGTTTTTTATCTCTCGCAGTGATCATCTCCTGAAATCACTTGGATGGGCTGATTGTGGCGGAAGACAAACATTTGAAGGCTGTGATTTGACAGACATGTCGGCTCGGCCCGCCCACTTCAGTGACGGAGCAACCAATGGCAGGACGCGCTCGGAGCAGATCAAACCAACAGCAGCGGAGCTCCTTTGTTTGCCTCCGTCTGAATGGCTCTGTGCGCGCGCGCGCGTGTATGTTCGTACGCGCACATGTGACCACTGAAGGCGCTCGCTGGTATTTAAGCACATCGTCGATCGAGGTGCTGAAGTGGACAGCTCCCGGACAAACGGCACCACCATGGCTGGTTTTGGCTGCGCGCTCGTTAATCCTTCCGAGCGCTGATTGGAGATCAGTTTGCACCCGGCTGGCTGCGTCCCATTTCCCTGAAATGATGGACTCTGTTTAGAGAGACGGGGAGAGGGGAGAAGGCGCCGCGGATGCTGGGGCACCTGTAGCTTGAGGTCTGCACATCTCTGCGCCTCCGTTCAGCAGGAGACCCGTGGCTGGTCTGATGTGCCGGGGGGAAGCTTAAAGGTAATCTTAAAGGCTTTTAGGTGACGGAAGTATTATTAGTAAGCCGCTCTCAGTGCCTGCCTGCACACAGGAGGGAACATGATGGACAGAGATGTGTTTTCTCTCACTTGTGTGGATTTGTAGAGGACGCGCGCTTCCGTGGGAACTAAACTGAACCTAAGAGTCTTCTGCTTTTTGTTCCATTTCTTGTTTTTCCTCCTAACAAATCATGGGGAAAGAGGAGTGCAAAACAATGCTGGACGCTTTGAACAAAGTCACAGCCTGCTACAGGCACCTGGTCATCGCCCTCGGGAGCACATCGGACTCCCAGAACCTGCGCGAGGAGCTGAAGAAGACCCGCAAGAAGGCCCAGGAGCTGGCCGTGGCCAACAGGACTAAACTGACCTCCCTGCTGAAAGACAAAAGCATCAGCAAGGACGACCGCGCCGAGTACGAGCGCCTCTGGGTGCTGTTCTCCAGCAGCATGGAGCTCCTGGAGGTGGACATGAAACGCTCTCTGGAGATCGGGCAGGACTTCCCCCTCAAGGTGCCCACCAGGCACCTGATCCAGACGGGCATGACGGGCAGCACCAACGCCGTGGCCGCCCGCGCCATGAGCGTCCAGAACATGAAGTACGAGGCCGACAGCAACGTGGACACGGCCGACCTGGGCGAGCTGCAGACCGAGATCACCCAGGTGAGCCAGATGATGGAGGAGATGGAGATGAAGGTGCAGGTGGCGCCGTGGGCCGTCGTGGCCAAGCAGGAGGCGGGCGCCGAGCTCAAGTCCAGCCTGAGCGTGGGGAACTCCTCCGTGGGCGTCATCTCCATCTGCGACGAGGAGCCCAAGGACGACGAGGGCGGAGGAGGGGGCTCCAGGGAGGGGGGCTTGGGCTTGATCGGCGCGGTGGTGGGCTTTTTCGTCGTCGTGGCAGTGGCTCTGGTTCTGGGATATTTAGTGATCATGTCGTGAAACGCTCGAGCAGCAGGGGCCACTCAGGGAAACTCCTCCAGGACAGAGCATCCAGCTCCACCAGAGACACACAAGAGGTCTGAAACTTGGTGTCAAAGTTAGACACGAGAGTCTCTCGGAATCCTGAATGTATTCGACTGAGATGAGGATTTGCACTTGATAAAATAGCCTTTAGAACAACATAGTGTGGTTGGGAAGAGAATGGGCGTAGTGATGTTTTGATGTGTGGGGGTAGGTTGTGTATTTTTGGAGAGTGGGGGATAATGAGTCCTAAAATTACGTGACAGTGTCTGGGCATCAGGATGATCCAAACAACACGTAATCCAAGTGGATTAGTGGGAAAAGCTCAAGCATAAATGTAGTCGACAGTCAGTCAGTTATCCCTGTTGGAGTTCAGCTGACGTGATGCTTTAGGGAGGTTTCAACCCAGAAGAGTCAGATGTGTTGAAACAAGAGGGAGACCTTGTAGTCTGGTTTTTAGGTCCATTGTTTAGGGCTCACTTGATCCTTACTCACCTCACTGGTTGAATGTGGTCGGGGCAGCACAGTTTTAATGCATCCTATAGAATCAATACAATCAAAAAGCCTGAGTCTCACTTAAACTCCAGCCTCACGCATGGGAGTCTTCGGACCTACAGGAAGAGACGGTCTCGTAAACATTGCACCTGTTCACTGTAAGCCCATTCTTGTTGCTTTTCTTTTTTCAGGGTTTTCTCTCAGTTTTGAATGTTAACATTGCAACAGGAATGAGTAAAAAAACTGGTACATGCAGTGTCAGAGAATGTACAGACAATCAACTTTATTTCTTGTAATAAAACTCTGAAACACACTTAAAATGGGCATGTGTAGCTTGAAGACAGCTCAGTGTCTCTTTATGCTGTGGACATCCTTTATAACTGCACCGGGCATAAAGTAAACTCACCATAATTAGCTCTATTGGTTTATACATCCGTCGATTGTACTTAGAGGTATTTTGAGCAGGAGATTATTCTCAGACTTTAACAACCTTAGTGTTAAATTCATGCTAAAGGAGAGCCACACAGATGCTTCAGTCCACTAATAGTTTTACTTGTAAGAGTCTTTACAGATATTTCTGGACGGGCACAAAGTTGGGACAGTTATCTTGGACTTTTGGGAGCACAGTCGGATAATTCAAGACCAAAGCCTGATAGTTACATGTGGATCTGTTTTATTATTTCAAAAAAATAAAGTAAATTTAAAGAAATTTAGGCTGCAGTTAAACCAATAATCTCCTTTTTAAAGTTTTCAAACAGGTATAGTCTAAAACTGTAACAGGTATAGGGCAAATAATACCCATTTCCTTTTTAGTCAGTGTCATCTGGATTTCCTATACACAGATAATTATTTTCCTGCGTATCTAAACCTGTATCTTTCATTTTGTGAGCTGGTATAATAGGATATTCTCAGGTGTTTTTCAAAGATAATAAAAATTAGAAGCGCCTGCACAGATGAAGGACCCTCAGGATGAACAGGTGCTTAATTTATTTGATCTAGGGGTCATCATCCACATAAGTGCAGGTTTTACTTAGCATAAATTCTAGACAGTAATCTGTTGAAATGGCACTTGGATATAAAGTTTAATCAAAAGTCTGTTCATAAAGGAGCATATAATTGATGCAAATGACCTCATCAGCTCCTGGGGAGGTTCTCCACTGACTGGTAAACCGACTACAGTTGGCTTTAGACGGCAGAAAACAAAATCAAATGATCTAATTTAAACAAAGTCACAATATTTTTGAATATATGAAATACAGCTAAACTTAAGACCAGTGAATATTTATACTGCCCACAATCTCACAAGTCAATTTAGTTTGGAGATCTGGAATAAGGATTACAGGTATGATCTGAGAGGGGAGCTATTCTTAACTGTGGTTATGAAAAGAGTTTAAGGATGTCAAAGAGACCTATGCAGTTCAATTTTCAAATGAGAAAATTGTCTTTAAAACAAGATTTTTACACTGTAAACTTTTTTATTTCACTCAACGTTTTGTGATTGTTAAAGGTTCTTAAAATGCTCATGTGTTGGTATATCTTTGGTATTTTAAGTGCCTTTTAGTAGGAATAAAATGGTGTTGTAGTGTGGAGATCTAAAAGACAAATGCCAAGACTGTGGTTTGAATATATGTTTAACAGCTTGCCATAAACCTTTGTAATGGAGAAATTTAACGGTGCTGCTTAAATTATAAAAGATAATTTGGGATTGGACAGAAACTCTAATGTGCAATTCTAAAATGTTATCCTTTTAAAAGGATAATATTTTAGAATTGCACATTAGAGTTTTTATATTTCAAACATGATTTCAACAGTTCAAAAAATCCTTTTATGCCTTTTTCTTGCTCTGTCTTTATCTGCAGAGAAACAATGACAAGAATAATAATTAAAAATAAAAACTACAGCTGAGGCCACAGAGCTGACTCAATTTCTTAGCAGGACTTTGACGTGTAAAGATCAGTGAGCATAGCGCTCAGATGTGAATCACTGGGAGCTTTCAGACATCTTGTTTATTCTTGTTGCCGTTTCACAAACTCTGCTGACAGTGAGTCATGAATTACACTTGTAATTTACACCAGGCTGACACTCTTATCCAGACATTCAGGAGTACTCAAGCAGTGAATGCCACCATCTGAAATGGGTTTCGAAACAGCTATTGATGCCATCTCCATCAGAATTCAAGTTTCCACTCATTTTAGAGGTGAGTAAAACTACTTTACAAAGTGTTACTTGAAGGATTTATATGATAAATTCAAAATGTTGGAGCAAAATTTAAACTCTACTTAGCCATATAAACAAAACTTCACAAAAGAAAAGGTACACCAGGCTCAGACAAACCCTTGCATCATCATCATCATCACTTCATCTGGACTCAGATGCTGGGTTTCCATAGAAACCTCCAGAAGACTGCAAACAGCACAGAAGGTTGAACAGCTATATTTCAACTCGTCCTTTCTGCCACAACCATCCAACACACACACACACACACACACACACACACACACACACACACACACACACACACACACACACA